ACAGGTCTCCTCTCTTGCCAGGCTGGAGTGCAGTAGCTGATCATAGCCGCTGTAACTTTGAACTCCTGGGCTCAAGTGATACTCCCAAGTTTGCTGGGATTACGGCTGTCCACCACCATGCCTGGCTTAATTTTTGAATGTTTTTGCAGAGACAGGGTCTCACTATAGCCCAGGCTGGTCTCAAGGTTCCTTCAGCCTCAGCCTCCCAAAGTACTGGGATTACAGGTGTGAGCATCGTGCCCGGCCCACTTTGTGTGTATTTAAATATATAGTTTAATATTTCAGCTTCCTCTTGTGAGGAAACAGGAAATCCAGAGTGTTTGTAGTTAGCCTTTACTGTAGGTGGGTCGCTTCAGCATGCATGCTTGCAATTGGATATCTGATACTTATCTGGCCCAAGATGAATAGGCATTTCTGAATTCAAATCAGATAAAATAGAGAGCCTTGATGTGAGGATGGATGAGGTATTTCATGGCATAACTTACAAGCCATAAGGTGACAGTGTCTTTCGCTAAGGAGGGGCTGAAGCATCCTATGCTATATTCCATCTGATTAAACGACATTGTGGCCCCTCGTTAGCTTCTTCAGCTTCAAGGGCCTGTTTGTCCTCTCTTCCCCTCCCAATACGTTGTATATTCGCTTCTATCTCTGCCTTTTTCTTTTAGATGCAGTTTCAGGATTCCCACCTCTTAAACATCAGATACCTAGGAATAAATCAAGCAAAAGACATACAAGACTTCTACATTAAAAACTACAACCATTGAGAGAAATGAAACAGATACAAGGACTTACATACCTTGTTCATTGTTTGGAAGATTCTGTATTGTAAAGATATCAGTTTTCCTCCAATCGATCTATAAATTCAATGCAACCTCAATAAAAATTTGAGCAGATATATTTTCCCCCAGAAATTGACAAGTAGATTCTAAAATGAATATGAAAATGGAAAGGTCCAAGAATATCCAAAAAATCTTGAAAGAGGAAGGACAAAGCCAAACACTTTACATTACTAGATATTGAGATATGTTATGAAACCATGATAATTAAGACAGCATGGTAGTGGTTTAATAATAGGCAAATAGACCAGGGAACAGAATAGAGTTCAGAAACGTGACATTGAAGAGCTGGTGTGGGAAAGCTGGGTATTTCCATAAATGGCACCGGATGAATGGGCTATTTATTGTAGGGACCAAGGGAAAACTTCCCCTTCACCCTCTGAAGGTTGGATGAAAACTCAACTCACAAAAGGCCTATTGATGGGAGACACCACTTACACATTTGTTAATGAATGTGCACAGGAGTCTTATCAAAATATAAGATCTCAAAGAAAGAGAAGATGGTTGATGCTTTTATACCATCTTGAGGTTACAGAAAGAATAGGGGCTTGGATTGGGGCAAAACATGTTATGGGGCAGACAGCAGGGGAGCCCTGGCCTGCAAAGGTGGTCTTGTTGCCCAGATGAAACCTCACAGGTAGCAGCCTTCAGAAAGATTAGATGACAGATGTTACTTTTAGACCTTTAAAGGTGTCAAACTCTCAGTTCATCTTTTCCTAGATCCAGACAAAGGAGGGCCTCAGGGAAAACCTGGCTGCATCATGCAGATTCTCTGCAGATACAAATCTCCCCAACAAAAGAAAGCTTTGGAGGATGACTTCTGTCTCCAGATCCTCTGAACAGCCATCTCAAACTATGCCAAAGTCTATTTTGGGGTGGAATATTTTGGTTTCCTTTAATATTCATATGGGCAAAAACAAATTAATCTTGACCCTATTAGATACTATATGGTAGAGAAATTTTTGTCTTCAGTGCAAAACTGCATTATCTATAGTACATCCTCTGGGTTATTTGATTTTGATTCTATGGTAGCTATTTTACAACTCTGTAACTTGTAGATAATTAATAGCAATGCAAAATTCATGAGTACAAATAATTGTCTACTGGTGGGACATTCCCCTGTCCCGTGGAAAAATCAGGTTTGCCTTCATTTGCATATTAATTTCAATATTTCTGATCTACAAATGTGTCTGTTCTTTGGATTCACCTTACTAGTTTTTCTTAATAAGTTAAATAAAATTTTAACATGTGTTCATTCTTATATGGGAGTCATGAGTTTATCTGTTTCACAAAATTAACTTTTAACAATACACAAAAATTAACACAAGGTGGACTTCTAATCTAAAAAGGCAAAGCAAGAAAGCTTCTAGAAAATTACTATAAAGGGGAATATATTCATGATTTTGGGACAGCAAAGATTTCTTAGAACATGAAAGCATAACACTAACCATAAAAGGAAATATTAGTAAATCAGATTTCATCAAAATTAAAAACATCTTTTCATCAAGAAACACCATTACAAGACTAAAAAAGGCAAGCCACAAAACATTTTGTTCTTGACAAAGGTTTATGTCTCCTACAAATCAACAAGACAGAAGACAGAAAGATGGACAAAAGACATGAATAGTCACATCACAAAAGATCACATCCAAATGGCAAAAAAACTTAAGAAGAAATATACAAAACCATTAGTCACCAGAGAAATACAAATTAAAACCACTGCATGGCCACCAGAAGGACAAAATATAAAAGACTGACAATACCTAGTGTCTTACTTCATTTGTGTTATTTAAAGCAGAATACTATAAGTTACTTATAAAAGAATGTCTGAGGCTGGGTAACTTACAAAGAAGAGAAGTTTATTTGGCTGGCAGTTCTGCAGGCTGTACAAGAAGCACGGCGCCAGCATCTGCTTCTGGGAGGGCCTCAGGCTGCTTCCACTCCTGGCAGAAGGGGAAGGGGGAGCCGGTGTGTGCAGAGATCACACGGTGAGAGAGGACGCAGGAAAGGGGAGGCAGGTGTGTCGTGGCCCATTTACAGGACGGAGGATGAAGACAGAACACAAAATGAAAACACAGAACACAAAGAAAAATGCAGACACACGTACAAACGGTTGATTCGAGTAATAATACACCGGGTCCATTTTATTTTTATACTTTAAAAATTTAAAGTTAGTTCCTTGTACGTAGCCACCCAGGCATTTCAGCAACGGTTATAAATTCCAGAATACGGAGCCTTAGGGAAGCAGATATCCCCTGACTCAAGGTTTCCAGGTGGTTGCTCTAGGCGCCAGGCATAGATCACGGACCGAGATTAGCAAGGATGGGCAAGGCAAGCCACGGGGGACATTTCTCATCCCCAGCTTTTCTTAGGGTGACCCCCTAAAATCTTTGGCTGAACCCTGGCAGCTGTGCCTGGCTTAGGTCGCCCCTCCCTTGAGGGGTCTTACACATCATTGACTAACCAGCCATCTTATGGGGTGTACGCAGCAATCACAGGAACAATGTGTTTATCGTGTGGCCCCCAGACCCCCCAATGCTGTGGGGCTGGGCAGCTCTTGCTTACTTGCAACTCAGGTCCTTTGTTATGCCTCTAGGCAACATCCTTGTTTATCACAAGGACCTTGTCCGGAGCACATTACTTTCAAACGCTCTGGGCAGAGCACGTACATCACTCGCTAAATTTAATTCTTAAACTAGGAAAATATAATGTCAGCCCCCTACACAGGTAGAGGT